GTATACTGGGAGTCGTGTGCTTAGAAGATGATCTTGGGAAAGGGGGTAGAGATAAAGGAAGTTTCCAAAGGAATTTTGACATGGTAAAGTTGACTTAAGGACCCTGGGGGTCAGGCTAAGATTGCCTGTTGCCCTTAGCAAAGCATCAGCATCGAGGCCGCTGGGTTCCTAGAGGAAGGTCCCTCTGCCTGTTTCAAGGACTTGTCATTCTTAGGTGTAGGTAGTGAGGGAACTTAATAAGTTCTCCTCTTTGTTTCCCACATCACTGTGACATTCAGACTTTCTTAATTTTAAGGTTGTTCAGACACAGCATCATGTCTTCAGGTTTTTCTCACCTGTGGTCATCATCATCTTTGTTTTTGTTTTTACAACCAACTTTTATTTATATCCATCTCAAGAAAGGCCTCAGTGTTGTTTCTCCCACTTACCTAGCATAATCTAGAGCTGCTTTGCTCCAAAGGTTAATTGATGTTTGTAAAATATTGTTGTAACGTAATGTAATTCAATTGCACTTAAAATATGCAATGCCCTGTGCTGGTCAAATCATGGTAATAATCACAATCCTCATCATCGTCCCTCTTTAAAAATCTTGGTGATTTATAAAATGAGATTTCAATTTATTCTTCCCACCGCTAGCCTACTGTCAACAAAATTGTCATCTTTTCAGTGACATGTATATGTATCCTTGATAGAATTCATAAAATGCCTAGGGTTAAGAGGATACGTATGTTATTGTTTTAGAGATGATAAATCCATTTCACCATTTTTAACATTCTTTATGATTATAAAAGTAACATTTTTTAAAAGATTTTATTTATTTATTCATGGGAGACACAGAGAGAGAGAGAGAGAGGCAGAGACACAGGCAGAGGGAGGAGCAGGCTCCATGCACCGGGAGCCCGACATGGGACTCGATCCCGGGTCTCCAGGATCACACCCTGGGCCAAAGGCAGGCGCTAAACTGCTGGGCCCCCCGGGCTGCCCAAAAGTAACATTTATTGCAGAAAATCCAAGTGGAAAAAAAATAGAAAAACACTCAATTCCTCTATTTAGAAGCTTTCTTGTTAACATATTTTCATTCTCTTTTTCCCATATGTCTTATTTTATATACTTGAGCTCATACTGTATATGAACTGCTTTAATATTTTTCCTGTTGACACTGGTATAAGCATTTTTCTCCTCATTAAAAACCCCAAATTCCTGTGTAATGGTTCCTAAATCCATCATATGGATATGCCACCATTTTCACAATATTGTCTTAAAGTTGGATGGTTAGATTGCTTCTGGTATTTAGGTATTTTTGCCAAATTGATAGGTGAATAAGACCTCTGTGAAAATTTCTATTTCTTTAATTACTAATAATATAACATTTGAATATTTTTCAGATATTAGCCATTTTTTTCTCTTTTAAATGAATGTGTTCTGTTTTATCCAAATGCTTACTAATTAAGTCATATAAGCTTTTATATATACTAAGGGTATTAACTGTTTGGTAAAATTTGTTTTAAATACATTTAAATAAAATAAATGTCTCATGAAGGAATGAATGAATGGGAAACAACAGCAAAAAAACAACAAAACCTAATTCCATCGGTGTTTCTGACATTAATATGTATCATTTTAATTGAATTAATAGCAGACATTCTTGTTCATACTTGACTCAGTTCAGGTAACAATGTAGAATAACAGAAAAAAATAGCTATTAAATATTTACACTGAGAATCGCTACATAGACTTCCATGACCTAGATATGCCATGGTTAAGGTCTCAAAGATAGACATTTACTGTTGTTTTTCACAATAAACACTGTGACATCCTTAAGATAAACGAGAAGTGGAATTGCTCTACCCACGTGTATTTATTCCTTTAACCCTTTCCGGCGGCTGTACGACTCCATCCCCGCTCGCCGTGTTTAGGCTGTTTCCTTGCAGCTCACTAAAAATCAATCTTTCTATTTTTGAACCGACGTTCAGGGGCAGTTTACATGTAATAAATGCACTTGTTTGAAGCATATTGATCAATGAGTTTTGACAAACATATACATATACTCACGTAACCAGCACCTCAGTCAAGATGTAAAACATTCCCCCCCAAAAAAAGTTCCGTCTTGCACATTTTTATCAATCATGAATCCCTCCCCCCACCCCAGGCTCTGAGTAAACCATGGATGTTTCCTGCTTCCTATAAGCATAGATTATCTATGTACTCTATAGTGATTGAAGATAGATGGATAGATGATATATAGATGATAGATGATGATAGATAGATGATAGATAGATGATAGATAGATAGATAGATAGATAGATAGATAGATAGATAGATAGAGATAGATAGATGTGTGAGTTTTATATAAATGGAATCAAACAGTATACGTGTTTTTCGGGGTCTGGTTGTTTTGCCCAGCACATCTTTGAGATCCATCCTTGTTGCTGCTGCCTGAATCGGTATGTTTCATTTTATTGTTGAGTAAAATGCCATCTTCTAGATACACCAAACTCTATCACCAAGTGTGTGATGAGACCTTGGGCTGATTCCAGTCTGAGGCTATCGTGAATAAAGCTGCTGTTTTCTTACTTGTACAGGTCTCTAGGCTGCAAAGCTGTGATTCTTTTTTTTTTTTTAAGAGGAAGAAGACAGTCTTTCCTGATTTTTCTTTTTTTTTAAAGATTTATTTATTGATTTATTTATTTATTTATTTATTTATTTATTTATTTATTTATGATAGACAGAGAGAGAGAGAGAGAGAGGCAGAGACACAGGAGGAAAGAGAAACAGGCTCCATGCCAGGAGCCCGACGCAGGACTCGACCCCGGGACTCCAGGATCACGCCCTGGGCCAAAGGCAGGCACCAAACCGCTGAGCCACCCAGGGATCCCCTCCTGATTTTTCTTAAATTTTATTTATTTATTCATGAGAGACACAGAGAGAGAGGCAGAGACAGGCTCCATGCAGGGAGCCTGACATGGGACTCGATCCTGGGACCTCGGGGTTACACCCTGGGCTGAAGGTGGCGCTAAACCGCTGAGCCACCGGGGCTGCCCGAAGCCGTGATTCTCTAGAAAAAGATACTTTCTTCTCTTACTTGGGGAAAGAGCTAGGGACTCTAGGTAGATCACCCGGTATTTCCAGTCAGGCACATTTCCCAAAGGAAAGCCAAACCTTGTTTTGGGATCGAATTAGCAGGATGAGGCAATGGTGCAGGATATAATTTTGAGAGCATCTTGGAAAGCCATCTGGGGAGCACCTGATTGCCCTCCTCCTGCAGCGGCCTCAGGCTGAGGCTCTTATTGCTCACTGCCCTGCCGCCCTCCACGTCTTCTGGCGCCCGACAGGTCTAAGAACGCTGCCAAGTCAGTCCCTGTCCCCTCCCATGACGGGAGAGGGTCAGAGGAGAAAATAACGACAGGCATCATGCTGCTGAATGCCAGATCCCCTAAATAGCTCCGGGAGGCAGTAGCAGGGTCAGGCTACCCTGCAGGACACTTGAGCACCTGCCCGGGGGCCCCTAGGGTATTCTCTGCCCTCTTCTCAGCTACAAGGGAATTGCGTGCTTAGGGCCCAGGCAAGTTCTGTGCCGCGATCTGCAGGGCCCACCTTCTGGAGGCAGAATGCAAACTTCTCGAGGGCAAGAACCATGCACGTTTTCATGTGTGCAAAGCACGTAGTAGGTACTCGAATGTGGGTCTGGGTTAGTGGATAATTGAAGCCAGAGCCACGGGCACGGATTTCTTTCTTTCTTTTTTCTTTTCTTTTCTTTTTTTTTTTTTTTTTTTGCATTTTAAAAAGTTTTTAATATGGGAGACAGAGGATCATTATTATGAAACAATTTTCTTTTTATAAATAACTAGGTCTGACACAGTGGCATATCCATGGGGCACACAAGAAACATACTGTGCGTAACATGTATATGAGATACACCATCGCCTTATACAGTATCCCTAACTTAAAAGACTGAATTACATTCACTGATTTATTTACCTATGTTAGATACAGCAAACTACTATCATTTAAGATAAAACAATATTGATGTTCAAAGCACTTCTGTAGATGATACAGAAGGTATGTGTTGGCACCATAACCAGATAACTGACAACTAAGCACACAAACCGGAGACGTAAATAATATACTATCCGTTATGAACAAGTTCTAGTCAAGGCTCCATGTCACATCTAGTGGCTGAAAACTAAAGAGCACCTAGTAAAAGAAAACATATTTAAATAAATGCTTTCCGGGCACGGATTTCTGACGTAGAAACCCTCAACGGTATTTTTAAAAGCTCAAGCAGGGCCTTTGCCAAATACATGCTTCCGAGAAAATATCCTTCCCTGGAAACGAAATCACTGATGGAAGGGCAGTTGTGTCTTGTGTTTCGTGATTTTGTGCTTATGTTATTTTGCACGACCGTCTTTTGAAATAGAAACCAGGGGCAGCCTGGGTGGCTCAGCAGTTTAAACGCCTGCCTTCGGCTCAAGGCATGATCCTGGGGTCCCTGGATCGAGTCCCACGTCGGGCTCTGTGCATGGAGCCTGCTTCTCCCTCTGCCTGTGTCTCTGCCCTTCTCTCACGCTCTATCGTGAATAAATAAATAAAATCTTAAAGAAAGAAAGAAACCAGAAGGTCACCATCAAACACTATCCCCTCTTCTCTTCCTAACCCCAACCCCCCTCCCTTCGTGGCAAGCTCGGAAAGCCCGAGATTCAGAGAGTGGTTTCCTTCCAATCGTGGAATTTGGAAAACGGGTTCGTCTGGGGAGTCGTGTTTATTAAAGATGGTGTGACAGCAAACGGCACTCGGCACTCGTACGATGGGAATAGGGTCTTAGGGGAAGCATGGCTTGCAGGCAGCATTTCTGGGAAACAGCTCACGTAGTAAAGGCAAATAGCTCGTCCCAGTGGGGGCCTACCCCTTGCAGACCCAGGAGTCCTGACCGTGCGCCCCTGGTTACGCAGGCCCCCGCCTGCGCAGAGTGAGGTCCTTACGGCCCGTTTGTCTTCCCGCAGTTCACCGACATTGGGACCTTCGAGACGGTGTGGCAGGTCAAGTTCTACAATTACCACAAGCGAGATCACTGCCAGTGGGGAAGCCCCTTCTCCGTCATCGAGTACGAGTGCAAGCCCAACGAGACGCGCAGCCTCATGTGGGTGAACAAGGAGTCCTTCCTCTGAGGCCGCCTCTCCCCGACGGTGCGGGTCGGCCCCTTCCGAGGCCCCCTTTCGGGTAACCCAGCGCAGGCCTTCACCAAGGCACCCAGCCTCTCCTGCCCCTCGGGTGCCGATGCCCTCACCGGCCCCGGTTATTCTGCAAGTGTCCGTTCCCTTCCGATGTACCGTCCCCGACGTGAAAGGTTGTGACGCCCCATCCCCGAGAAGCCCCCCACTGTAATAACGCGTCGCTGTCCCTGCGCCCGGCCACCGACCGCTGCGAGGAGCTCGGTGGCGCGGGCCGGTGGCGCCCCTCCCAACGGTTCGGCTGCAGGGCCGCCGGTGTGTCGTTGCCAAGTTGAGTGATCGCCCTGTTCTTGGTAAATGCTAAATAAAAAGATAAAACACAAAACCATGTGTGCGGGTTCTCTCCCAAGTGTGGTGCGGTGGCGGCGCCGTGCAGCTGGGCCAGGCTGCCGGAGAGGCCCCCAGGCTGCGCCTCCTGGGGACAGGTCGGGGACAGGTCGGCCTTTCCCTGGGAACCACGATGACTGGAGGACAAGTGTTTCAGGACGATCTAGAACACATTAGAACTCTTCCAGGTAACTTCAGGGATTCCGCTGCGGCCCGGTAGACGTGGACCAAGGCATTGTTGGGGTAACCCGAGGGGACGGCTGCTGTAAGGTCACCTGGCTGGCACGCTCCCGACGTGTCGCATACGCATATGATGGGCTCCCTGCGTCCCCCTCCTCTGGGACTTTGTAAACCTGCCCGTGGAACTGTAACAAACTTCTGATATTTCTTAATAAAGGTATTGGAACGGCGTGCTCCGAGTCTTCTTCTCACTGGAGGCGAGAGCCGCCCAGCTGGAGGACCCCGCTCCGGGCCGGCCCGTCCAGGTGTCCAGCTGCAAGGGGGGGGACCCCGGGACTGCAGGCAGCACGCTTACCCCAGGGCGGCGGGGCGCTTCAGCAGCGCTCTGACGAGGCTGCATAGACGCTGCACCGGGTGCACCGTCAGAAGGCACCGCGCCCCAGCGGCCTGCGTCCTCCTTCTGTGATGACCGTCGCGGCTCCCAGGTCGTGGGACAACGTGCTGTCGCGATGGGGCAGGAATGCCAGGAGGGTCACCTCCTTGCCCGCCCCGGTGCTGTAGGGACAGGTCGGTCCCTGACCCCATGCAGGGAGGATGGAGGCCCTAAGGAGCACAGACATTTCCTCCGGAAGCAGAGGTCGGAGTGAGTCAAGGGAGGTGGGGAGGCGACGGAGCCGAAGTCCCGCGGTGCAGGGTGCTGTCGCCGTCCCCTGGTGAGCGAGGATCCTGTAGTCCTGCGGAAGGCTGGTTGAGCAGCTGGTTGTGCGTTTGCTCATTTCCTCCCCGAGGCTCCCCGGGGCACCTGCCGGGTTAGGGGGCCCATCTGATGGGGGCTCCCCGGGGGCACCTGCTGGGTTAGGGGGACCATGTGATGAGGGTTCCCCGGGAGCACCTGCCGGGTTAAGGGGCCTGTGTGATGAGGGCTCCCTGGGGGCACCTGCCGGTTAGGGGGCCCGTGTGAGGAGGGCCGTGGAACCGCATTTGCAAGGCCGTCCCCAAACCCGCGGCCCCTCTGGGTCGCTTCCCCACGGTGAGGCCGTGGGGCCAGCAGGGCACAGCAACCCCTGGGCTCTGGGCCACCCGTGCTGGGCGCTGAAAGAGAACAGTGTGTGTCTCAATTCCTTTGTTTGTCAAAAAATAACAGTTTGCGTTACGACGGCTGCTAACATAAGCGTTAATCCATTCCCCATTTCTGTATTTTGAAAACCAACATTCGGGCACCCCGGGTGGCTCAGTGGTTCAGCGCCACCTGCAGCTTAGGGTGTGACCCCGGGGTCCCGGGATCGAGTCCCCCGTCGGGCTCCTGCGGGGAGCCTGCTTCTCCCTCCTCCTGTGTCTCTGTGTCTCTCGTGAATGAATAAAATCTTTGAAAAAGAAAAAGAAAACCCACGTTCGATTACTGGCACCCAGGTTGAGATAAGCCATGGATTAACGCCGGACCGAGGCTTAGGTGTTCTTCCGGAACATCCAGTAGAAACGCAGACGTATTAGATGGTGGAGCACTATGGGAGCTGGATGTGTCAACGAATAAAGGTTTCCACGTGTGAGGATCCCTGGGTGGCGCAGCGGTTTGGCGCCTGCCTTTGGCCCAGGGCGCGATCCTGGAGACCCAGGATCGAATCCCACGTCGGGCTCCCAGTGCATGGAGCCTGCTTCTCCCTCCGCCTGTGTCTCTGCCCTCTCTCTCTCTCTCTCTCTGTGTGTGTGACTATCATAAATAAATAAAAATTTAAAAATAAATAAATAAAGGTTTCCACGTGTGGAGCGAGGTTTCGAGCTTGTGACTCAGCTGCCAGAGCTTGCGTGTAGTTGTGTTGAGGGGTGGAAGCAATAGCACAGCTTCTGCAAATGTCCTTTTTTTTTGTTTTGCTTTTAACGAGAGGCTCTATAGTCTCTGAGTGCGGGGGCCTCACGCCGAGCTGGGCGCCGGGCCCGGTGGGAGCGCGCACACCTGCCGGCGGAGGAGGGCCCGGCCGCAGACCCACGAGCCGCCACCTGCTGCTGCTCGCGCCCAAGTGCTCACCACCCCGCGCGTCTCACTTGGCTCGCATTGGAAGCACGGAGTGAGGCTCATAGAATTCTAAGGCCCTTTACGATTTAAGGTGGAGGCCCCTACCTTGCAGTCCCTTAAAAAAAAAAAAAAAAAAAAAGAAGCGTGTGTCTTTCCTTGGGGCTGAGAGGTCGGGTTGGATCAAGGAAGGTGGGGAGGAGATGAAGCCGAAGTAAACAGGAAATCTTAACAGCTAACCCGCCACGGTAAGCGATCTCTCCTGGCAGCTTCTCTTCTACTTGTGACTGGACTCCAGCCCGGTCCCTCTGGCTACTTCTCGCAGACCTCGCCTCCTACTCCAAAATCTGAGTGCTCAGCTATATCAAGCTGCTGAGTTGTGACTTTGCCCCTCGGCCATCTGGAAGGGCTATTTTTATACGAGTTGTAGCCATCTCCCCCTACTTCCAAGCATCAGATGGCCACCCAGAAGCTTGAGGAACTAGGCCATCCTTCTAATTATGATGATGACTCAAACGCTTCGGAGCAGGTGGGAGAGTAGAAATGCCTTGAATTTATATTTTGTGACACCTCGTTTGTCGAGAGGTCACTTACTCAGCCGTCCAGACTGTCTGGATCGCAGTCGAGAACAGAAAACATGCCAAAAAAAAAAAAAAAAGACAAAGATCCCTGTCGCAGATGTTGCAAAATCCATTCGTTCGCGAAAGGCTGGGGTCTTCCCTCTCAAGACCTCGCGACTCCTACTGCAGAGGCAGTTCTGACTTACAGGGCGGTCTGGTGCCTGGCTTTTAGGAAAGCGGAAGGAGAATGAGTGGAGGAAAGAGGGCAATTTGTAGGGGTAGGTACAGTGAAAATAAGTTTGTTTCTTTGTTTTTTTGTTTTTTTGTTTTTTCACAGAGAGAGGACAAAGAAAAACAGATAACGTAAGTCCGAAAATATCATAGATAGGGATATCTTTACGGTATAGGGACACGGTCCTGTGCTAGGCTAGTGGTTTCCATGGACATCAGAGAAAAATTGATGTACACAGTCATTACCCTGATTTACTTAGAAAGACGATGCATCATTATCTTCAGAAATGTGGCGTCATGTTTAAGAGTTCAGATTCTGGGGGCACCTGGGTAGCCCCGTGGTTGTGCATTGGCCTTCGGTTCAAGTCATGACCCCGGGGTCCCGGGATCAAGTCCCACATCGAGTTCCCTGCATGGAGCCTGTTTCTCCCTCTGCCTGTGTCTCTGCCCCTCTCTGTGGGGATTAAAAAAAAAAAAAGATTGTTTTAAAATCTTTTAAAAAAAAAAGAAAAAAAGGGGTTCAGATTCTGGAACCTAGACTCCCCATTCAAATCCTGGCTCATCCACGTAACAACAGTAAGACCTTAAGTAAGTCACTTAATATCTCTTTTGCTTCAATTTTCTCATTTAGAAAACGGAGGTCATAACAGTATTTACCCAAAAGGCATGGTTATGAGAATGAAATTATGTAAAATCTTTAGGATGATGTCTGACACATCAACATTAGTTTCCTGATTAATTATCCTTTTTTTTTTTTTGCATAGAGTTGACACACAATATTACATTAGTTTCAGATGTGCTACTTGGTGTTTGGCAAGTTTGTACCTTATGCTACATCCACCACACCTGTAGCCAGATCTGTCCCATTACATCACTATCCTAGTATCAGTGACTGGCACATCGCATTATTCAGTACATTTTATTTAAAAAACAAAATATATTTGCGAACAAAATATTAAAAATGTAAAGAGAAAAACTGAAGGTATTTAAGGGATAAAACTCCTAGGATATTACTGATATGGATGTGGAGTAATGGCCAAAGTTTTTGCTCTATTTTTTCTTTTCTTTTTTTTTTAAGATTTTATTTATTTATTCATGAGAGACACACAGAGAGAGGCAGAGACCCAGGCAAAGGGAGAAGCAGGCTCCATGCAGGAAGCCCGATGCAGGACTTGATCCCGGGACCCAGGGGTCATGCCCTGAGCTGAAGGCAGACGCTCACCGCTGGGCAACCCAGGTGCACCTATGCTTTTTTTTTTCCTTAAAAAAACAAAAACATATGCAAAGACAATATTTTAATTATGTGAAAGTAAATAGCTTGAAGTAGCATATTTTAAGACATTCTGGGAAAAGAAACTCTCCACAAACCGGCTCCATAAAGTTTCTTTTTTGTTTGTTTGTTTATTTATGATAGTCACACAGAGAGAGAGAGAGAGAGAGAGGCAGAGAGAGAAGCAGGCTCCATGCACTGGGAGCCCGACGTGGGATTCGATCCCGGGTCTCCAGGATCGCGCCCTGGGCCAAAGGCAGGCGCCAAACCGCTGCGCCACTCAGGGATCCCTCCATAAAGTTTCTTTTAGGAAGACCCAGTTTTGAATAAGATGGAAACGTTAGGACAGAGTCAGAGCACCTAAAATCTGGGAAAGGTCTAGAATGATGTCTCAGGTTCTCTTTGTTATGTCTTTTAGTCGTCCTCACTGTTCCATGAGGTCGGCAGCATCTGTCACATGTCCATTTAAAAATTACTGCCAATAAATAGAAGTATGCAATTTTTCAAAATTCAGTGCTCAGTATAGAAATCTGTGGCACTTGGGATGCCTGGGGGGGCTGGGGGCTCAGTGATTGAGCATCTGCCTTCAGCCCAGGGTGTGATCCTTAGGTCCTGGGATGGAGTCCTGCATCGGGCTCCCTGCATGGAGCCTGCTTCTCCCTCTGCCTGTGTCTCTGCCTCTCTCTGTGTGTGTCTCTCATGAATAAATAAATAAAATCTAAAAAAAAAAAATGAAAAAGGAAAAGAAAAGAAAACTATGGCACTTGGGGCGCCTGGGTGACTCAGTCGGTTAAGCAGCTGCCTTCGGCCTCAGGTCATGATCCTGGGTCCTGGAATCAAGCCCAGGGCAGGCTCAGCTCTCTGCTCAGCAGGGGAGCCTGCTGCTCCCTCTCCCCCTGCCCCTCCTCCCGTTCGTGCTCTCTCTCTCTCTTTCTCTCTCTCTCTCTCTCTTTCTCTCTGTCTCAAGTAAATACGTAAAATTAAAAAAAAAAAAAAAGAAATCCATGGCACTCTACGCAGCAAATTTCTTAAAGATGATCTTTTGTCTTTAAGGTCATCCCAAGTACTGTGAGCGCAGGGATCCGACGTGACAGTTGTCCCGGGGCAAGGACGAGGCCCATTCCCATTTGCTCCCGGGTGCAAGGCAGGCCATAGCCGTGGT